CCCCGGATCCGATGACGACCTGGTGGGGCTTGTTGTCCTGGGTCCTGTGCTCGGGTCCATTCCACGTCGTCGGGCGCCTCCTGGGAGACGTCCTGGAACTGGTTGCCGCCCAACTCCTCCGCCACTTTGGTGAAGGTCCATGGCACCTTGGGATCGGTGCTTAGCTCCTCGATGAGAGCTTCTCGTTCTGATGCTCGACGAAGCTGCTCGGGGCAGCACTTGATCAATTGTTTGCCTCGGATGCACCAAATCGTGCTTCCTGGCCTCAGGTGTCCCGCCTCATCGCGGCGAGTCTCTGTAGCCAGGACCCGTGCTGGGCCCAGGAATCGTCCATGTTTACCGCCGGGTGAACGACGGTGTTTGTTCGACTCCTGGCTTCGCCAAAAGAACACCAATTCTCCTGGTACGTAGTCGTAGGCTCGTCGCGGCCTTGAGTGCTGCGCTCGAAGTAGCCGTTGACGGGCGTGCCAATCGCTGTGGGCCTTTTCAGCGGCTGCGCGCCGCTGCACATCCCTCTGGAACTCCCCGGTCGCATTCTCGACAAGGAGGTCTGGAGGTAGCCGATGGCCCTCGGCCACCAGGCGGTCTGTATCGTCCGCATTCCGTCCCAAGGCCAGCTGTGCTGGGGTAAATCCCCGCACCTGTTCTCGATGGTTGAACACACGAACAGCACTAGCCAGCGCCTCCTCAGGAGAGATGGCATTATCATCCTCATGAAGTTTCCCTAAAACCTCTTTGAGCCCTTGGACTGCCTGTTCAATTGAGCCGATCTTCCAATGAGCTTCTGCTGGCGCCACATCAAGAAAAATGCTATGCTTGTCACAAAAGGCTTCCAAGGCTTGGCTTCGGAACGCTCCCGCTGGATCGAGGCGGAGAGTGCGTGGCACTCCAAAGTATTGCATCCAACCTTCCTGAAAATAATTCAAGCATGCGGTTGCCGAGGGCTGCTGTTTGGAACCTCTCGTGAGGATACGAGCGGTCCGAAACCTTGTGTTTTCATCTATCATGACAAGAAACTGCACATCCTCGCCTGTGGTGGGGTGGTGCCAATGTCCCACATCGGCTGACACGGTGTGCCACTTAGGTGGCAAGGGCTCAAGAGAGGCCAAATGTCGTGGTTGCACTCTCTGTTTCTCGTGGCACACACTGCACTTAAACTCTCGAGCAGCCTGCAAGACTTCCTCCGAAGCACCACGGCGCTTCAAGGCATCTATCAAATGTCGCATGCTGCCGTGACCAGTTGCAGCATGCAGCAAATAGATTTGCTTGTTGATCTTAGCTCGCCGCTGTCTGCTGTTTGCTTCGCGTTCCTCACCTACCATAGCCTCTTGGGCCGGTCTGGGTGCTCCCTGGAAGGTTTGGGAGCTGAGCTTCCTTCTTGGCACAGGAAACCCCTGGGACTTCAGTTGCTTGCACTCAGCTTCGGACAACTCATGTGAAGCACGCACTGTATACGCTGACAACGTGATTCTCTCTCCTGTCCACTGGCTCACCTCGTGCCAGGCGTTTGGAGGAAAACTAACCAAACGATGATGGGTGTTCACGTGTTCCGTTTGCCCACCCTCAGTTTGGACCTCCAGATCACCCCCCTGGTAGTTGCCGAAGGAGCAGGAGTAGTTTTTGCTTTGCTTGTCGTTGTGGCTATCACGATGTCTTGGCACGGGGTTGTTGTAACTTATCACGAAGGATGTCCAGGTGGCTTCGGGGTCGGCATGATTCCGAAGGAACAAATTCACATAACGACACAATTGTTCATGTTCTTTGGTTCGATTGCTAATCCCTGTCATAGGTCCATGTCGGTAGGCTCCAAACTGGAAGTAAGGTGGCCGGTTGGTCGTTCCTCCCATCATGCCTCTTCCTTTCCTTGGGAGCTTCAGCTCCAGTCGCTTTAAAAACCCTTCCATTTCTTTGAACGAGGTTTTCTTCTGTTCCTGAAGCTCCTTAGCCTCCCGTTCCATATCCTCCCGACTCCTCTTGTGGTTGGTCTTCTCTTCACTCTCACACGCTCCCTCTTCTTCTGCAAGCAGACAGCAAGCACAAGACTGCACATGAACAGACTGTCGTGTCATGTTACACACACATGCCATGCCCCGCCCAAAAAGGTCAGACGTTTGAGAGTCCCCTTGACATTCCCGTTGCACGCCATACATGCTCAGCTCTTGTTGAGCCCCCATCGCCACCAGCCTTTGAAACTCCTTAGGATACAGTGGGCTCCCGGTGCTCATGTTCCCCTCGCATTTCCCGTGTTCATACTTGGCATCACAACGACAAGGTTTGTGCAACAACTCGGCGATTCGTTTATGTGTGGTCATCACCTTCCACCCCTTTTGCACCAACTTCCCTCGCGCATCCCGCAGGTTCACCCGACACCCTTTTGTCACCGACACATGTGGTTCACATTTCCGAATGATGTCTTGCATGATTGGCAACCTCCACGCATCACTCTTCTCAGCAAACTCCCAAGCGACATGTATGCCATGTTGTATGCAGTAGTGCCAGATCACGCTGCAACCCACATATGTACGCAGGGCCTGTTGTCTCTCTTGAGTGAGTTCCTGTTTCTGTGCTTCGGTTCTTTGGTTCGTGCGCTGCATGGGGGAGTAGGGTTTTCCGGGAGGACTCAACCACACCATGCTAGGTCTCAGGGCCTCAATCTGTTCCAAGACCAGACGTAACCCTTCGGTCTTCCCTAAGTCATGCTGGTTCCACAACGAACAACACACTGCAGACTGCTCCTCTCCCGTGGCGGCTTGCACAGCCCGCGCAAGAACACCTTCTTTTTCACATGCCACTTCCATCAAAACAGGTCGTTGATCTTGAGACAGGCTTGAGAACAGCTTGGGCACAACGCTCCATGACTCAGCTTCTAGAGCCTGAGCTGCTCCGACAGGGAGCCGGTGCGACTCCTGAGGCTCTACAACTAAATCATCCTCGTCTGTGTCTGAAAATTCAGCTGCTACATAGCCATGCTCATCTCCAGGACCGCTCAAGGGTCCAGGACCATTGTGAAGCTCGCTTCCGTGGAGGTCTTGGCATCGGTCTCCGGCTCCTCCTTCTTCTTGCGTCGTGGCTCTTCCGGGTGACGATCCTCCCGGAGTTG